TAGTGGAGATAGGCAGGGAAACACTATCAGAATTCAAAACTGCTTGTTTGTTTGTAGGCTCTAAGGAAAATGGAAGTTACTGATTCTTACAGTGATCAGAGGGGTTTCCCCCCAGTTTACTTAGTGTAGCTCCCAAAGAAGAAATACTATTCAGCTATTCACTGCTAATTAACATGAAAATAATAAAAAATAGTGAGTTAGTTAAGGCAATTGTATCCTAGCTTGCTCCAATGCAGTTAACCATAGTTTCCAAGTTCAGACAAAATGGGCACTATAGTTGATGAAAGTCATCCTGCTTCATTTGCCATTTCACATGAAGGAATTCTCTGTATGTGGCTAGAAGGCACATTCACTCCTCATCTTCTTAAGTCAAGGCGTGGTCGAACACCTTCATAGTTACTGTGGTCCTCAAGTCTTCACATGGTTGGTGTTAAGTTAGAGGCATCAAAGCTTTCCTGTGCCGAACATGTCATATGGGGTCTGAGAATGCCACAAGGGGCCTTTCAAAGCAACTCCTATTTTCATATCATCATGTGTACAAAGGATAGTGTAACCATTCCAAGGAGCTCATGTGTTCACACAGAAACAGATGCCTTTGTCAGAAATGAAAATTTTACCATCTGTGCAGAAGAGCTTATATCCTTAACGAGTATAGCTTTCAACCTTCCATAACTTTATCAAGTAACTTTTTAGAAAGCATTTGCTAGAAACTACTGTTTGTCCTAAATTTGTTGCCAATAAAGATTTCTATTTCATTACATTATTCCACGCACTGTATCAAACCACATTTTATCCTGGAGGCAAGAAACATTATTTCCTCTTACCTACACATACACACTGATTGATTCCAGAATTCAATAAAGCAGCTGTCCTTTCTTAGCCCACAAAATTATGATTAAAGTTTAAATTACAGTGGGATCCCACTTTGGGTTCGTTTTCAGACCTCTTCCAGTTGTTGGAACTGTTGAATTTCTGTTTGGGGTCAAAATATAGGCACCTGACAGCCTCCTTTCAATTACCTTGAAAATGTTGCTACATTCTCTCTTTAGCTTTTGTGTGTAGCCACTCAAAGGTCTGGCAGACGCAATTTCATGCCAAACCAATACTGTGTTCCCATTTTGTTTCCTTGGGAGCGTCTGCCAGATACATTTTCCTGCCATTCACTCAAAGAAATCTTTGTGTTTGGCAGAACACAGTAGATTTATATAGCCATCTTTGTGCATTATTTCACTGTGAATGCCACTACATTAAAGAGTCTACTAAAGTCCAATGAAAGGCCTTGATAACCCCCCTCTCCCCCAGTATTTATTTACAGAATTTCTCCAATATCCTACAGAGGAACTAATATTTCTAAGATAAGACTTTCACTTTTTGCGAACAGATAAAAAATTCCTAGTTTTTAACCTAGTATTTCAGAGAGTGTCAAAAGCGAGTGACATATCAGCTCAGTAACCCATTCATTAACCATGTACAGTAGGCAGTGTCCATGGTTTAAATCTCACCTCAACCATAAACTCACTAAATAGCCATAGACAAATCACAGCCTTTCAAGCTTCATCCTCCTTATCTTCATATTTTTATGGAGATAATAACACTGGCCCAACCCTGTAAAGTAGACTGGCATCATCATCCCCATATGTAGATGGTGATGCTGCAATCCTATACACACTTATTTGGGAGTATGGCCCAATGGATTCCGTGGGCCTTACTTCCTAGTAGATATGCACAGGATCATGCTGCAAAGCTAGCACAAGCGGCTTACAGCCACTTGTTTTAAGTTCATGTTTGAGATCCAAACTGGCCCCTTTCTGCATCAGAGTTTACCCCCTTCACCACACCACATCAGATCTCTTTATTTAATTAAAGTAAACCACTCCAAATTCAAGTGGCCACTTCTTTTCTTGGAACAAATTTCACATCTCCCTCCTACAGAGACATATTTGGAAATGGATAGAAGCCAAAGAAGCAAGCAGTTGATGTGATCTAAATTGTATGGAATAATATATTAATTTCTCTGTAAAATGACCCACAACTTCTTCATTTTAGGATCTCTAGTCATGCTTGTCCATTCATCAGTGAAATCAGATTCAGAATCTCAGGCCAAGTTCAACACAACAACTATATATTCTAAAGCAACAATTATCTGCATTCTTACTAAGGATTGAATTCTAATAAAAGATGATAAAAGGATAATACTATCCTACATTTGCTTATGTCCAGCATTATCCTGATAAAGAATAGCCTTATGTATTATTCAGAAGAACATCTAGTCCCAGACTCATAGCACTTCTAAGATCCCCAGCAGACCTTGTTCCCACCCTGTTATCCAAGTTCCTTTAGCTGCCAAGAGTTTACATGTAGAAAGCAAGGATCCACAAGGGCATCAGATCCAGCCTCCAAGGAATGCTTCACCCACTGTTACTTCCATGGTGGCCAGTGACAGCTGTGGCACACTCCTTAGAGGCTGGATCTGACAACTCCTTGACATCCCTCCCCCATGCCACCTATTTGCCAAGCAGCCTCTTGGCAAATAGAATGCCCTATTGGTCTCCTCCCACCCTTGTTCCCGATGTAGATCTTACTCAGACATTATTTTCTGGATTATGGGGGGGGTACATTTTGTGGTTTGCCTCAAGTGGCTAAATATCTTGGGGCAACCTTGGTAGAAAGTATTGTGTTTCACAGCAGATTCTCCCATGGAACGCCTTCTTGTGTCCACCTTTTCACACCAGCAGTATATCACAAACCATGACTTTGGAGTTTGACTATGCCACTGCCAACTATTTGGGACAGTGTGTCAGACAAAGTATTGGAAAGAAGCCTAGTGGAGTGATGACTCCAGAGACCTCATGTGAACTGGAGCACCTTATGTTTTTATTACTTGAACAAAAACAAAAACACTCTGCCTTGTACTGCTATAACAAGACTATGTTTCTCCTTAATAAAAACAAAACCAAGTTCTAGGATCCCAAAGAAAACACCAAGAAAGTTTAGCACTGGCAGACTCACATTGTACCCTGAAAGGAAACTGTTTTAGCTTTTTGCCCTGGTTTTTCCAATAGAAAGGCGGAGAAAGAAATGTGCATTGTAACAACTTGCCTTTATACACAGTGCATAACAAACCAAACCCAGGAAGCAAGCTGCAGAGAGACCTTCTAACACCACCATTTACATACAAAAACCTAGGTCCCAGTCATACTCTGTTTGCAATTCATTTCACATATTTTCACTGAGTAACAGCTCTAGCATTCTAGAACAGAGGGCAAAGCAGACCCAGGAGAAAGGAAGTCTGTTTGCCAGCTGTAAAAGAAGCATAATTCTTTTATTAGGTTTGGGTGGAGACAAAGGAAAAGAACTGAATAGACCCACACACCCCTGGAAAAGTAGATTAGTACTTGATGGTGTTACCAGACATTTGCTATTTCAAGAGGAAACATCTTATTCTAGTACATTACAATCCTAGAGCTTATAATGGATGCTATCCCACAGGTGCGCAAACCAAATAACTACATGTACTGTAGTCTGTTGGTTTTATCTCACAATCTAAAACACAGGAAGTGAAAAACGCAGTGAAATCTGTTAAAACATGTCAAGGGTGCCCCCCTCCAGAAAAAATGCAAGGGAAAATTGGGGTAAGGGAGCGAGAAACGATTTAACTCTTCCTTAGCTACCAACTCCTAAACCAGTTGGGATGACATTTCCCACCCAGTCAAAAATGCAAGCAAAGAGTACATTACACACTGAGTGCATGGGAGATGCCAACAACCATTGGGGCAGGGATGTGAGAGAAACAAGGAAGGCCAAAAGCAGAATCTTGGGAATGAAGTCGTTTTTGGTAACCTGCCTGCTGCAGCCCTCCATCCTTTACTTAGGAAGATACAGCCAGGCAGGCAGAGATCAAATTAGCATGCCACGAATTACATCGTTACAGCCAGGACCAGACTCCTAAATGGCCCTTCCATACCAGAGCACCGGCACATTCTAATAAACAAGACGCAAAAAAGACCCCAAACCCCAGATATTATATGCATATGCAAAAGTAGTTAATCATACTAGGCCAGGAGTTGGAGGACAGAAGATGGGGAGGAGGGGCGAAGAGAGAACGAGAAACAGCTCTAATACACCCCCCCCCAGGAAAGCAGCGCAACGGATCGTAAAAGAGGGGCACCGATATCTCCATGGAGCAAGCTCTCCCAACTCTTCCCACCCACCGTCGCTTGAACAACCATCTCCTAGCAGGTTTCTTGCAGCAACGGGGACACCCACAGCGCCCACCCAACTCGGCGCCTAGGAGATTCCGCTCCCGGTGCGCCCCGCGTCCCCGGAGCTCAGTCCTGGCCGAGCAAGGCTCACCATCTTATCGGCGTCGTGCGAATGCCTGAAAGTGCTGGCTTCTGCAAAGCTCTGGGTTGGGCACGGCCATCGGTGGAGGCTCCGGGAGGGCATCGGCTACATTTAACTTCTTCGCGGTCGGCGGAGGGGAAAAGGGGGGGGGGGGAATCGAGCCAGCACCAAGCAGCCTCCAGGAGCCCCCTGCCGCTCGCTCACCCAAAAGCTTCTTTCAGTCGAGGTGGTGCGGGGGGGGGGTAGAGAGAATAAATAAAGATCAACCCAACAGGGCGTCCCTTAGCCGAGCCAACAGCGTGCGAGCTCCGCAACCGGAGCCCGCGCTCCTCTTCTTCCTGCTGCAGCCGGGCCGGCGGGCTCGCCAAGCAGCTAGCCCGCAAGAGGCGGCGGCGGCAGCAGCCACGAAGGAACTTTCGCCTGGCCAGGAAGAGTCAGCCTGCTGCACAAAGCCCCCGATTCTTCCCGCTGAATGGATCTCTCTTCTCTCTGTCCCCCGCCCCCCATCTCGCCCTCCTCCATCCCGCCCCATGGCAAAAGGCATTTGACCTGGGGGGAATCACCACACACGCACACGGTAAAAAAAAAAAAAAAAGCATTAGTGCAACCTGCAGACACGATTTAAACCAAGAAAATTGGAGGAAGAGACGAAGTACCTTGTATGTGCTGCTTGATGACATTCTCCAAATGGTCCAGCCTTTCTATAATCCTTAAAGTGTCCCCTTTGTCTTCCTCTAACTTTTTCTCCGAGATCGGCTCCTGCACTTTCACATAGACCGTGGCAATGTAGTTGGTCACCCAGCCCACGTAGAGCAAGCAGATGATGTTAGTCATTCCACTCAGGATCACGCAGGTGGACACCAAAGTTTTGGTTTTCCTGGTGCAAACCATGCTGAGATCCCTCCATATAGCTCCAAGGAAACCCTGTGGTCCGGTTACCAAACGGGGCGGCGAGAGAGAAACACACAAACCCACGGCACGCTATAAAGAAATAGTCGGCGTGTATATTATTAACAGCCTGCCTTCACTTTCTCCGAGGACTGGGGAGCGCGGAGCACGCCGCTCAAGTCAGTGAGTTCCCATGCGAAACCGGGGCTGCTCCCCGGACCAGGAACATCCCTTGCCCTACCCCGAAGCAGAGCTGAGGGGAGAGTTGGCGCCTCGAGGTTCCCGCAGGCTTAAAATAATAAAATAAAAAGAGCCTAAAACTTTTTTGCCTTCCCACCCCTCAAGAGCCGCACCAAGAGCAAACCCGTCCTCTTCCAGGCTGAGCAGCTTCGCCCCGGACGCCAGGCGCGTGGAAAGGTGCGGAGTCAGGTGCCCAAATGTTGCGAAAACTTTGTTCTCCTCGTCGGCGCTGCTTCCCACAGCCTCGCAGCCACCGCTCCAAAGCTAGCCCTTGGAAGCCGCGAGCGGGCGAGTCAGTGTGTACGGCCCGCAGAGCGGCAGGCCTCCTTTCCAATGAGCGAGAGGCGCCGGCCCAGAGCGCGCCGGCGGCACCGATCACCCGACCAATGGGGACGCGGGAGGGGCGGGGCTTCGTCAGAGGCCCACCTGCTGTATTGCATGCCTTCCTCTCAGTCGCTCACTCGCTAGCTCTGTGTGTCGTTAGGCGCGCGCGCTTAGCGCGAGGGCGTTTGCGCGGTGGAAACTCCCGGCCAGGGGAGCCAACCTGCGGCGCAGATTAAGCTAAAAGACTCCTGCAACCCACCCACCGGGCCTGCTGAAGTTTTACCGCCCTCACCGAATGTGAGAGGAAAAGGTTAATTCTATTCGTTTTCCAGCCCAGCCTCTCTCCTCTGCTTCTTAGAGAACCTGCTGCGCCTCGCTGTTTTTATTTGGCTCCTGTTTATTGCCACCACCTGCGGCGCCCACCGTGACTAAGGGGGTCAATAAGGTATTTCGAAGCAAATAAGGCGATTATTGCTCGGGCAGCTCTTAACGCGGCTCCTCATCTTAGAATCTCATTGATCTGCTGCTGGGACGAAGCCAGGGAAATCCCCCTGGCGCCTATAAACCGCCGGGTCCCTTCCTCCTTGGCTGCATGTATTCAGTAATTCCCCAATCTGGCAATGAATTAAAGTCCCGGCCCTGTTCACCGCTTGTTCGAGTGCTTCTGATTGCTAACTATATGGCTCTAATTGCATGATTGTTGCTTGTTATTATGTGCTTCTCGAGAAATAATTTACAGTCTCTTTTTCTGCGTACCCTCCCAAGAACTCCCGAGTGCTGCTGCATCATTGGGTGACACTGTTATTGTTGTTGCTGAATTTATAACCCACCTTTCTACAAAAATACGCAAGGTGCCTTACACGAAACTAACACAGTACACAAAAAGATGAAAGACAAACAAGCAAAAACAAAAGCAGTTAAAAGTCAAAGGGGTTTTACAGGTCAAAGTCAAACACTATAGAGACACTCTGCATATTATTCCTGTTTCCACGCTGCCCACCGTCTAAAGTTGCATAGCTCTAACCAAACTTCTTTAGGTGCTTAGCCCACACAGTATTGCAAAAATGACACCAACTTCAAGTGTCATGGCCAAACTTTATTATTTGACAAGTCTGACCCTCCCTTATGTGCACCAAAGACATCAGGTCTATGCTTCTCTGAACTTATGCAGGCCATCAGCCTGGAAGGGAGAGGATGGGAACAGGAGGGGGGAAATGGAAATGGACAGAGCTGAAACAGAGCAATAGATGGGGTTGGTGAAGCCTTCTGTAAACAATCTCTGTGTTCGTTTATATGCAATCTTTTTATAAAGTGCTCCACAGCCCAAAGCTACCAAAGCAGAGTTCAATAAGATAAAAGTTACAGACTAAAACCACTGCTACAATAGTACAATTAATATTCCATAAAAGACAAAATAGCTGTGTTTTTTGGGAGGAGAGTGTTAGATAAAGATGGGATAACAGAGAGTGAGATAGGGTGACACACTGAGAGAATGTTACAAAAGTGGGTGTACTTTTGCCCTGGCTCCACCCATAAGGGGGGGGGAAAAGAGAGAGAGCCTGCTGGATCAGGTCAAAGGTCCATCTAGTTCAACTTCCTGTTTGCACAGTGGCCAACCAGTTGTCTATGGGAAACCCATAAGCAGAACTTGAGCAAAACAACACTCTCCCCACCTGTAATCCCTTTCCCCATCAGCTGGCATTCAAAGGCATGCTACCTCTGACAGATGAGGAAGAACATATCCATTGTGACTAGTAACCACTGATAACCTTATCCCCCATGAATTTCTTTTAAAGACATCTAAGTTAGTGGTCATCACTACTGGCCTTGGTTCCACTCACTGCCAGTACAGGTGGTGACCATTTTGTTTGCATACAATTGGTGCATGACTAGCAACATGTGGGTCCTTTTGGACCAGGAAGAGGGCAGGGTGGGGCAGGCTTATGTGCGCTTTGCCAATTTGAGTGGGGGCCAGGAACAGAACCTGCACGCAAAATGCTTGCCACTTGTATGCCTTTGAGAAAACGAAACAAAAAAGGTTCTCCATCCTTGGACTACAGCAAACTGGATTCCAGTGAATGATTGGGAGGGGGGCTCTGTTTGAGGAAAAACTCCTATGAATATTTGTTTCACAAACACTTCAGTTACAGCTTTCTGTATAATGTGAATCTCCTGACATGAAATGGTTTAGTATCCTCCCTTCTCGCACATCCTTTTATCTTTTTTGCACATTGATGGCTCTCTTCTGAGGGATTTTTGTCATGGAGTAGGGGCTCTTGGTTTTTGTTTTAGAAAAAAACCCGCTCAGCTACACTGCGATGGGCAGCTTGCCCCTCAGCCATTCCTGTTTTACAGGGTTGCTTGTTCTTTTTGCACAGGACCTTCCAATAAATGGTATAACAGTCCTCTACCAATATTAATGGGCACTGCCTTTCTCTGTCCCCCTCTGTAATTCGAACACTACTCAGCACACTGACTGCTATAAAGCAATTAAATAGGTGCCCAAAGCATCGGAAGGCTCTAACTTGCTCAGCCCTTTGATAAACTGAGGCATAGGTGAGGGAACAGCAATGCCCTCTGACCTCGTAACTATGAACTATTTGTTCTCTTCAGCACTTCCTCCCATTTTTCGATGCTGTTACATTTAACTCCAGGGATTAGGTTGTATGTATGCTTGTACAAGGCTATGGAGGCGGTGGAAGGAAACTCAGCAGAACAGGGCTACGTATAGAAAAACATTCCTTATACCACAAGTATGGTGCTGGTAAATTCCCCTATAATTCTGCCAAATTAGTGGCCGCCGCTCCCCCCTAGAAGCACAGACCGCATACTGTTCAGGCCGAACTATAAATGCTACTTCCGAGGTGTCATGAGGTGAACTGCCTGTGAGGTAAAAGCCTGTAAGAGGAGGTAGCAAGTTACAGGGTATGAATGCTATTTGTAGTCATGTGGGTGGATCTGCTTGACTTGAAAATTTGTATGCAGCTTCAAATACTGATTGCAGGAGAGAACTGCATGCTGGCCTAGGAATGTTCTCTATATATAAACAAACAAACAAATTCTCATGTGGACAGGATTATGTATTTAGTTAACTATGTTTCAACTACCATATTACATCTATAGAGGATTTATTTATGGTAGTCATGCTAATATCTGGAGACATCATGGTGGTGTCAGTGTCGTGGCTGGGCCTGAACCTGGAACAGATCCAAGTTATCAGCTTCTTTCAAGCATGTCTGAAGTTGGACCACCATCACCCTCTCAAGCACCTTACTCAAAAGGGGATATTCATCACTGGGTGATTGCTGTTTTAACACCCTGGTTACAGAGTGGTTCTCTTAAGGGGACAACACACATCTTCATGTAGCTTGTCCACATCCTCATGTCGCTACATTCAAAACTAATAGACAACTTGGATTTAGTGTCTTGGACTATGATCTCTTACATGCGGTTATGGGCATTTTTTAACACACTCATGAGAACTCTGATATGTGCCTTTATAGCTCCTTGAAAATTCTGTTGGTGAATGTCAGCAGCTCTAATGACCTGACTTCATTCAGCTAATATACTGTCTCCTAGATCAGAAGCAACATGCCTCTGAATGCCGGTCTCTGGAGAACAGCAACAGAAGCAAGTTATTATGCTCATGTCCTTCCTGCTTACATCCCGTAGGCATTTGATTTGCCAGTGTGAGACACAGGATGCTGGGCCAGATAAGGCTTTGGTCTAAACCAGTGAAGCTCTTTTTAGGTCCTTATAGTTTGCTAGGCACAGAAGTGGAACAGTCATATCAGCCATTGTCCCCATTTCCCACCCCCACCCCCATTGCTCTTAAATAATAGATCTTTTCCAGATTGGTGACCTGCAGTGCAGAAGGTACACATACTCCAACTACATTTAATATTTTCAGTCATTTAGTTATGTAAATGTTTAGGTTCAAAAAGCTTTACTATTTTTTAATCAATCCTTACATCACTTCCTGTGTTTAAGCAAGGTTAAGCAAAGCCAATGACTTCCATTAGATTGCCAAATAAAGCAAAGATTTGAACTCAGCTCTTCCCATACAAAATCCAACAATCTACCTACTACACCAGCCTTGCCCAGCCTCCTTGACCATTGTTCGTCCTGGCTGGGACTGATGGGAGTTGATGTCCAAAACATTTTACAAGCACTAAATTGGGGAAGATTGTGCCACACAATTCTGTTTACCTTATATATATATATTAAATATAATGAGCAGAGGCACTTGTTAGAAAAGTCAAAGAGAAGCAATAACCTACTCTGCGTTTCAAACCACAGATGATTACACCTGTGAACCACCTATTTCGCTGAATACCATGAGGCATAAAAAACAATCATGATTAATTTACTTGAAATATTTTATTTGATTGCAATTAAATATTAAGTAGCAAGCAGCATGTGACTAAGCACATATGAAC